GTGGAGAGGCAATACAACTCACAGGAAAAAAAATATGATTTTCATGGTATGATCACCAAACCTGCAAGATAGCTAGATTTAATGTCATACTGTGGAACCTTTTAGACAAAACAATGACATTATGAGTGGGCAATATTGACAAAAATTATGTTTTTGCATAATCTCAAAAACAATACTGAAAACATTTTTTTTTTTAATGCACGAGGAATGTGTTAAAATATGCTGAAGTTCAAAATCAAAACATGAAAGGTGAATAAAATTAACAACAAAAATGCGGCATTTCAGTTACTGTGTTTATGAAATGACACATTACGTTAATTCCATTTTTAATCAACGCTTTTTTGTCAAAAGCTTTAATTATAGATGATATACTCTAATTTTGCATATTGTCAGAACAATTGCAATGATATAAAAATTTTCTATACATATTTCCCACCTCTACTCCACCAGAAGTTATATTTAAAAAAAAAAAGTTATATAATCCACCATTAGCGCAGACCTATTATGCACATTTTCAGAGCTTTTAACCACGTTATAGATGTTCACCCATCTCATACCCTCTCGAACTTGTATTTGTGCATGTTTGAGCAAACTTTAATCAGTTATTTTCAAGATACCATATTTCTGATCAATCTCTGTTTTCACCACCAATGGTATACACCAACTGCTCTGTACTTACTTTATTCTCCAACTGGGCACCACAGTTTTCTAACTCAGGAATCAGCGGGAGATAAAAAAAAAAAAAAAGCTAAGTATTGAATTTAAAATGCCTAAACTATAACATAATAATCAGATCCATGGGTGTCGTACATTAAACTATAAAGCAGACACAAGCACAATATGTGTTCTTTAAAGTATGCCTTATGCTAGACTACCTTTGGAAAAATGACAAAACAAGCGATTCTCAGCAGGAAGAATACTGCACATTGCTAGCTACATCTCACCCTTTTTATCAGGCGTGATTAACACTCTCCCTTCAGCCAGCCTCGCCACAATCATCCAATTTTAACTACATCAGCTCTGCTAAACTGTCCCTCATTATACCACATGGCTATATCCTTTCGACATATTTTTTTCTTCCCACTGAACGCAGTATCGGTCACGGAAACATAACGCAACACAAGCCGCCTTCTCCATCTTGACGTTTTCATCTGCAATGTAATTAGCACAGTGCGGAGTGGCTTAATGCTCCTCCCTGCTCTCCAGCCCAGTGAAGGTAACTGTAGGCAGCCCCTAATCCAGGCAGCGCTAATGGGATTAACACACAAGCGCACACACGCAAATGTATTCCTCCAAAGCTCTCTCCAACCATTTCCACAGTATTTCTCTATCTGTCTAATTGGATTATGCCAAAATGGGCCATTTCTTAAAAATCTCCATCTGGTCCACTCAACGGTTATAGGCTGATTATGATGGAAGGGGAATAATGACTATTGAATTAGGACTAGCTTAGTACAATGGTCCTCCAGCTGAGTACCAAGACCACTTTGGTAGTTCAATGCCATTATGATTCATATTGGGTTTCAAAAACTGTTTTAAGATCATTTGGAAAGATTTTGAAAGTAAACAAGCTAATGAAAGCATCCATAAATTATCATACTAATCTACATACGTGTATATATCTTCATACAATAGAAAGGGAAAAAAAAGATAAATACAAGTTAAAGGTACAGTATGTAACTTCCTGGAGGTGGCATGTCATCTGCTAGCCTGATTCATCTGCCGGTTTCTCTTCGTAGAAACCCTCTGACCTCGCAACATTAGAATTCGTTCACTTGACGGTAGGTGGGTACTTTTTTTTATTTAACCACTTGCTGCTATTTGGTCGTGACATATGTAATGTGTCGTTAACGGGGGCCAACTGTTATATTAGGAAGAAGGGCAATAATGTCTTTCCCCTTGATAAAATTCACCAAACATTCTCTGTGTTCTGGCTTTAAATCCTCGAGGAATCGTTGCCAACACAGAATGTATGGCTCTTCGCTGATTGGCTGGTGCACGGACTTGCACTTCCGGGGTTTTTGTGAACCGTCTAGTGTATTCTGATTCCTGACTTAGTCGCTGGAGAGAAATTAAATTGAGTAAAGTACTAGGTGGCGCCAGCCTGGCTAGTCACCTGCATGACTCCATGGAAATATAAAGTTAAAAACACACTTTGGAACACTCTCGATGGTGATAAATAAGTTTTGTACTATACTGTGGAAGATTATCACCAAAGCAACAACATTTTCGTGGAAAGAAGCAAGCTAAATAAGAGTCAAGTTTGTAAAGATGCAAGCCCATTCTCAGTAAGAAAGCTGCATGTTTTTTTTGTTTTTAGTGCACTAAACACTAATTAAAAATGAAAACAAACAAAAAACACGCACACATTTATTTAATTCTGTTTTTGGCAGGAAATGCACATACCGCTGTAATCTTTGCCATTCTACCTAATGCCTTATTTCTAACACTAAGACTAATTATTAATGCATTATCTGTACAACATGGCATCTAAAACCGGTGACAGATCAGTATGTTTTGTGTGTGTATAAAAATGCAAGATCCAGTCGGTGTAAAGGTTACGCTTTACAATGTAGAATTTGATGAGGTCACAGTTTCAGATGGAGGACAGGGGTCTATATAACTTTATGGCAGATTCACTGCTTTTGGGAGAATTGTCCAGCCCTCTGATCCTTCTGACCTTACCGTTATTTGTTAGGGAATGATCCACAAAGTCGCCATTTTAAACTTAGCTAAAAGTCCTTTCCACTTACAACAATCGCAAAGGTATTGTCTTATTGTTGTATTATTGTTTTTCCTGTAGATTGGACCATGTAAACAGATTAGATTAACCATAATGCAGGTCACCAAATCTGCAAATTCCACCTGACATGTCCTTCAGCTCAATTTCAAAGGGCCCATATTATGCTATTTTCTGATATATATTATAATGTTTCATCATCAAAAATGTACCTGGAGTTGTGTAGCCTTTGTGGCACAACAGGACATTAAGCTTTAAGTGAGAAGAGACCGGGTTGTAGCAAGGTTTACCAATAAATTCCAACTATTATGGGGCAGATGGTTAACATTTTAGATGTGCCAAATGGATCCATTTTTGAGCAAGGTAATTAATTATGTTTTTAAACGTCCCTGAACATTGCTTAAGGTTGAAAGGGTTTAAATTTTTTTTAAAAAGGGTAAAGGTTACATAGTTTGTATGGACTGTATTTTGTGAAGAGAGATAGTGGTCATTTTACAGCTGTACACTTGTTATTCAAAAGTGCACTATGAAACATTTCTAATGGTGGGTCCTGTCTCTATAGAAAGGTTACTGGGTTGCTTGTAACACACACATACACCTGAATAGAGACAAGCAGGTGGTGGCTCTAGGCCAAATTACAGGTTAGATCTATGGATAGGTGACCTCGCTCACAGTTAGAATGTATGCTTAAAGGACCCATATTATGCTATTTTCTAATCTATGCTATAATATTGTAGCCAGGCTGGTGCCACCAAGTGCCTCCGCTCAATTTCATTTCTCTCCAGCGACTAGGTCAAGAATCAGAATACACTAGACGGTTCACAAAAACCCCGGAAGTGTGAGTTCGGGCACCAGTCAATCAGCGAAGAGCCATACATTCTATGTCGTCAACGATTCACGAGATCGAGGATTTAAAACCAGAACAAAGAGAATGTTTGGTGAATTTTATCAAGTGGAAAGACTTGCCCTTCTTCCTACGGGATTTGGGAAAAGCTTAATACACCAGTTAGCCCCATTAGCGGTGCATTACATACGTTACGACCAAATAGCAATGATTGGTTAAATGAAAAAATTACCCGCCTACCGTCGAGCGAACGAATTCTAACTCTGTGAGGTCAGACGGTTTCTGTGAAGTGAAACCAGCTGATGAATCAGGCTAATAATACCGTTTCCTCATCAAAACCATACTTAGCGTTTAGTTTCATTCAAACATGTTTAACACCCCTCCTCCTCCCCAACAGAAAACCTTCCTTGTGATGTCATGTGGTAACACAGGAAGTGCTCCAAGTGCTCCACTGTGTTTTTAAACTCCATACTCTTTCACTAGAATCATTTAGATGATTTCAGACATGGAACTGCCAATGTTTGCTAAAGGAAAGGTAAAAGGTAGCTGTTAACTTGAAAACTACTGCTTCACGGCATCACAAGGTGGAACAGAGCATTTTGAGCTTTGGACTTGTAGACAGACTAATAATAAAGGACTATTCAAACATGTGTGAATGAAACAAAACAACTTCAGGTATGTGTTGATGAGGAAACGACATTATAACATGGTTTAAAGCTCACAAGAGTAAGCTCTGTGTACTATATAGGACCTTTAAAGTATTTTGAGGTTAGTGCAGTTTTAAAAGACTTGTATAAGTTTTATTTTATAAAGTTGTGTCACCAGCTCAGTGCCTGTTGACCTTATATACCTTTACACTCATCCATCATCTGCTGCTATATAAAAAGTTAAAAGAAGAGGAAGAAGCCAGCACAATGTGTTATAGACTAGTCCATGCTTTCACTATATACAGAGAGCTGAAAACATAACACACTCCACGCAGCACAAAAAAAGAGAACGAGTGAGAGAAAGACAGGCACACCCACAGATGTGCCAACACAATAACACACAGAACAGCCGCCATTCCAAATTACAGCTCCATCTCACATCCCATCAGGCCGGAGCTCTTGATCGAACGCCTGGCCACGGAGACCCTGAGGTGGGCTACCGCTCTGCCAACAGCTGGGTTCCTTCCAAGGCACCCCCATGTCTTATTCATGGAGGTCCCATTGGCTCTCATCACTCATCAGCCCCGTCTCCCCTCCGCAAACAAACAGGACGATGCGCACATGTACTCGCAAGCGGCAATCAAGGGCATCAGGACTAGGGGGGGAAGCTGATCCGATGAAACAAGCCAATCAGATCAGGTTGTGTGTGAGGAGCGCAGTGGTGTAGTAGTGAGGAGAGAGAGATGCTGGGTAATGTTGGTGGGGGTACCTTATCCAGGTCATGAGCTCCACGGTGTCTGGGTCATAAAATTCTCGCAGTTCAGAGAGCTCTTCCATCAGTTTGGGCCAGAACTGAAATGACAAGAAAAATATTGGAATGAATAACTCATGTTCGGTCCCTTGAATTGGATTTATGTAGTGACTTTCAGGACACCCAAAGTGCTTTACAATGCGTTAGTCATACACTCCATACTCAGTGGTGATATGCTGTTATTGTAGTCACAGCTGCCCTGGGCATACTAGGCAGCGTGCTGCTTAAGGAAACCGCAAAAAGATTAGAAAGTAAAAACAAGTTTGATGTAAAAGGTGGAGTACAGAGATGCTATAATGTGTTTTAAAGTATAAGAGCAGGTGGACAGAATTCAATTGACTGCTAAAAGTGTTGAATGTAATTTTGTGTTTTAATATAATCTGTTATATGGTTTATACTGTGGTATTTACTGAAACAAAACAGTGGCACATAGTTTAATACCCACCAATGATATTCATTAACAAAGTCAAAACTGTGTAACAAATATAACTGTTGAACCTGATCATTTTTTGTTTTTGTGTAGCTTCAACAAATCTGAAATTTCTGTTCAGAGATTTGCTTAAAAATACATTTTATAAGGCTCAGTAGCAATAATAGATCAATGCCACTAACAAAAAGAGAACGAAGAATTGTATAATACATGAGCAGCATTAAACGATTTATATGATTAAACGCATATCCGCTTTCTAAAGCAAATTAATTATTGTGAAATAATAAGTTTGAACTTGCATGTCAGACAGACAAACTTGTAAACTGAGATAAATGTCTAATCAAACCAAATGAGTAAATAACCTTAACATTAGGTTATTTACTTCTCCTGTAAATGCTGAATGCCGTAAATAGCAAGGCCACAATAATGCAGTGATAGTGTGAGCAATAGTTAAATTGAAAAAAAAAAAAAAAATATAATATATATATATATATATATATATATATATATATATATATATATATACACACTTTTTTATGAGTAGAAACAATATTCCTGCTTGTTTTAATATATATTACATGAGTTGAGCTATAGCATATATTTTTGGACAAAGCAAAGGGTGAGTATTTGAATTTAAAATATAAAACATATATTTAGTATTTACTTTTTTTTCTCTAAGCTACCTAATTCCATAAGTCTTACTTCATGTATTTCATGTCTTCCGTATTTATATAACAGGTAGAAAGTAGTAAAAATAGAAAAAAATAAATAAAAACACTGATTTAGTGGGTGCGTCCAAACTTCTGACTGGTGGAGTATATTTATTTAAAAGATTGACATTGACGATGGGTGTCACTTTCCTTAAACCCATCACAGTACAGCAGTAATTCAGCTCTGACTGGCAAAAACAATGATAATGATGAGCATAAAGACAAAGTGCCATACCTTATAATACAGGCACGCCATCATCACTAGTGGAACTGCGCACGTCACCAGCCTTAACTGCGAAATGAGAGAGAGAAAACAGCCCCAATGAAATGGCACGATCTAATCGAATCAACTGCAGTCAAACTCGGAGTCAGCCTAAGAAAATAATGTTGGGAATATATTAAGATGAGGAGTGAATGAGATAACAGGGAGATAAGCGCCAGACAGCACAACACATACCAGCTTATCTGATGCCTGCAGCTGCCACATTAGGGACACACTGACCCCTAGTGGCCACGTCGGGCGCTTATCTCTGCTACATAGGCCCCAGTCTTCATAATGAAACTGGGCAGCTTTATGGTTCGCTCCCTTTCCTAACCAGTGCGTTATAAACAGCTATGGTGTCTAGGGACTGGCTGCTCAGCGAAGGCAGGAGCTGGATTGAGAGATAGTTATCCTCAAGCCAAGTTATCACGGCTAATATATGTGTAAAGCTAAAAGGTGGTAATTTATGTTCGCTCTGAATTTGTCATGCACTCAAAGGAAGAATTATATGAGATTTGGAAGGACAGTTCGAATTGAAATGATGGTACAATAATGTGGATTGCAGTCATAGGTGGGTAGAGTAGCCAGAAATTGTACGAGTAACATTACATCAAAATATTATTATATACTCAAGTGGAAGTACAAAGTAGTGGTCCAAGAAATTACTTAAGCAAGAGCAAGGGTGGGACGAGATACAATTTCCACAATACGAGATGAGACATGAGACTGGACCTAAAAGAACAAAGATTTTGACATTCTAAAAAAATAAATTGTGCACTCCAGTTCCCAATTTTGGCCTCACCTTTTTTGTTTTACTTTATTTTATATTTCTGCTGTCATTGTAGCGATACGTTTTGGGACTATTGATTCTCAAAAAATTTAACTCAGCAGCACTAAACAATTTTTTTTTAATCCAATACATAACGTAAAACATGGGGGGGGGTGTCATGAGATCATTGGTCTTGTGGTAATTTTGTCTCTCAAGATCTTGTGGCATAAGATCTTGTCCCATCTTTAAGAGTAAAAAAGTATTTGAGAAGGAAAGGTACAACTCAAGAGTAACTGGCAGTACGTACTATCTGATTTTGTAATTTGAAATAATTGGAAGAACTTTATCCTTCGAAAATACCAGACACAAAAACCAGACAACAGACGAACCAAATCATAACTGCAGGAGCGGTGCAAGAAACACAAATGTTCAATCATTTCACATTGTCAACATAACGCTTTTGTCATTTGTAGACTTACTCACAGTGGGAAGAGGAACACAAACTTTTATTCAATTAAGAGTACTGTTACGTCTACAGAAATATTACTCAAGTAGGAGTAAAAGCATGCTGCAAGAAAAGTGCTATTTCTTTTAAAGATTATTCAAGTAAATATAAGTGAGTACTACTAAAAGCCAAATTCATATCTTAAAAGAATACAGTAGGGCTGCAAAACAAATCACACAGTCGAAACAAAATTGCAATTTGAATGGATACAATAAGGCTTTTTGAAGTGCCATAATTTCCTTAAACAAGCAGCAAACTCTCCTGTCTTATTCTGTATAAAAACTGCTAACCCTGTAGTTTAGATCTGTTCAAACATGTTCTGAAATGGGATTCTTTTATTAGTTTGTCAATGCACATTTCAGTTTTTTGTCAGTTCTTCTGAACGTGTTTAAAAAGTGAACTTTCAACAGAATCCTAAAACTGTAAATCTTGTCACAATGCCTGTCAGAAAAAGAAAAACACCTCAAATCTCTGGCCTTAGAATACAGTCCCCAAAATTATGGCTCTAAGACAAACGTCTCCACCACACTAGTATTACTGGCCAATTAGCCGCATCAAGTGAACTGAAAAAAAGTACAGAGCATCATCACTGAGCCACATTTAGTGTATTCTAATTTGCCAAAACTTAAACCACTTTGACAAAGATTAAACTCTAAAACTATTCTTGTATTCAAACTAATTTGTGCGCTGTTAATTGAATTAGTAGGAAAGAAATGATTTGTTATGAAAAAATAAAATTGAAGAAACCGAACCAACATCATTTGTAAACCAATGCACATTACCGTACAGATGATTGCTTTTACAGGTTTGCAAAATTGTTTCCTAGACTAATACTCCATACTTACTTCATATCTTCACCAACATTTACATATTTATACAATTGAGAATAGAGAGGCATTAAATAGACAGTAAGATCTAACAATATTAAAGTACACAATGTTTTCTGGTGGAGTATCAGTCACCTGCTTGTCTTCATGGAAATGTTATGGCTTTGCCTGGTTTTTAAGATATTTTTGAGCAATAAAAACACCTGTAACTTGAATAAAAGTAAGATGGATAAGTTAAATGTTATATATGGAACATTCCAGGCCAAGCAATAACATCTCCATTGTGGCAGACCCTCCACCAGAAAAGTTACACAGTGAACCTTTAAGCCTACACTATGTTACAGCGCAAGTGTCATCAACATCGACCAACGCATTATTTAATATATTGTTCTTCCAATCACATAAACTTCAAATTATACTCTAAATCAGATGGTACAAGCCAACAGTTACCCTTTACATTCCTCTTACTTGAGCTGTACTTTTAGCAAATACTTTTTTACTCTTACTTGAGTAGCATTATATGCAACTTTGAATGTGCTTTCAAATTTTTCAGCTCTCTGGTGTTGCTTTCTGGAAGTATCTTATAACACATACCAGGAATTTAGTGTTGCATCGAAGAGTGTTGAAAATCAGAGTCCAGATCTCAGTCCCACACACTCCATAGGCTGCCACTGCACACATGTGACCCGTCCAGATATACTTCATCCTGAACAGAGACAAAAGCAGCAAAAGAATAAGGTAGCTGCTATTGTTATATAAATGTATTCTACTGGAGGCATATAAAGTAATGTATTGATTACTTCAGTATTGACATGAGAAGAGTGGTAGTCCTTTTGTTTCTTTAAATAAGTAATATCAGTGCATTTATGTTTTATAATTAACAAAAAAATAAAAAAAGATTCCACCCACGTGTCAGTTTTAAAAAGCAATTAAACTAGCACCAAAGAAACACCGTCTACAAAATTTACTAAGCAAAGATAATTGTGTTTCGAACAGGTTGACAAGAATTTGCCTTTGTAAATAAAAAAATAAATAAGTTAAAAACAAAGTGCTAAACAACTGACAAACACTTTGTAATTCGACAAAGAGCGAATAAAAAAAAACAAAAAACAAAAAAAAACAGACTTACAAAGCTGAAATGTGTAGCAGAGTGTAAAATTGAAGAAGCGGTGGTTAAGGTGAAAACAAGTCAGCCTCAAATGTTTTGTGGCCAGAGTTCCACTATTAATAATGAGAGCACATTTGAGGTTTTTTTTTACAACAATTAATACACTGTACCTGTCTCAAATATAATGTAAGAAGAAACTATAGAACACCGTGTAAAAATTTGTGATCCAAATACTACAAGATGATAATATGGAAACTAGATATTTATTTGAGCAGGTATTTATACTAAAAAGTCACATTCACAAGACAAATGCTAACCTTTCCTGAGTAGATTTATAATGATCTTGGCTGTATTAGAACAAGTATAAGACCTACCTGGATGACATATAAAACCACATAATAATATAAAAGAAAGTACTATGATGTTGTAAGTTTATAATGTTGAGTGTGTTTCTTATTATCATTGTGGTACCGGAATCAGTAGTATCGAGTAGGGGTGTAACGATGTCCAAGTCTCACGATACGATATCGTCATAGTACGAACCTCACGGTACAATATTTATTGAGATATCGTGGGAAAGCTCAAGATATGGTGGGAAGGCTCATGATTAGGGATGTAACAATATCCAAATCTTTCAGTACTATATTTTCATGATATTTTGTGGAGGCTAACAAAATTGAATATGCTACTTTTATGTAATAGCTATAATGAACATAAAGTGTAGCAAATTTGTCAAACTCTGCCAGTTTATAAGATTACCAAGAAGACACATAGACATTCATGCAGTGTGTTCGTGTACCGTCAGTAGCATTTGTATCATTCAACTAACACTTTTTGAAGATTGAAAAATACGTAATAAATCTTCAGAACTATATGGCACTATAAACAGGTATCAGTTTTTCTAGTATTAAAGGCATATTATGTCACTTTTCTGATGTAGGTTGCGCCATTGTGGAGATGTTATGACTTGGCCTTGACCTTGGAATCCTCCTCAGTATGGTATTATCTACGAAAAATGCATTCATTCAATAACAGCTGTTTCTATTGCTCAAAAGTACCTTGAAGACATGTATTCATAATGTGAGCAAGGTCGCCTCTCCACAGATCTGACCTGTAACTTTACCTGGTGGTGTCACCTAGTTCGGCACATGACAGCCCCATGGAGACAAGGGCCGTTCCCCATAAAAGTTTCCCTTACAGTTCAAACTAGTTGAAAAATAAATACTGATAACGTCTTGTGAATACTGCTGTTATTCTTTCAAGTCGTTTTTTCACAGTCAAAAATAGAGATGTTAACACTTGGCCTGTGTACACTGACAGACTTTTCAGCACTGTTGTCAGAAATACAGAGGTTAGCTGAACTTAGCTCCATATTTGGCATGGTATAAAAGCAGCTTTGCCAAAACTCAGGATGGCCTTGGGTTTTATGAGCACCTTTCTACCTTGCTTTCCATGTTTTCATTTCCAGAAGACACTGGCTTACTTAGTTTTATCTTTTGTTACAATGAAAGTTGAACATGTCAAGAGTTGTTTTAAGGTTTTTTTGAAATCTGAATTCAAGAAGAATTGGCTTAAAGTTTAAAAGTGCGTTGTCTAACTTTTCCGGTGGAGGGAGCATCACATCTCCTTGGAGATGTTATTGCTTTCGCTGGAATGTTTCACAGTATGGTATTAAAACTTTTTATCTTCAGGGAGATCAAATCAGACTAAAGTATGTGAAGAGGTGACACCGCTCAGTCAGAATGTGTGTTTTTCTAGGTATTTTTGAGCTATAAAACCACCTGTAATTTAATGTCATACTGTTTAATGTCATACTGTGGAACATTCCAGACAGAGTAACACCTTATGCATAGAAATAAGCAGGACTTCCCCAGAAAAGTTACACAATACACCTTTAGGGTACTAAACCAACTGTGCAACTTTTCAGGTGGTTAAAGTTATTACTTTGCCAGCATATTCCACAGCATTGCATTAAACTTCTCTATCTCCATGGAGACAATCAGGTGACACAAGCAGGTCAAATGACATGTTAGATCTGTGGAGAGGTAATTATGTTCAGAATGCAGTTTTTTGAGCAATAACAAACCCTCAACTTGAATAAATGCAAGATAGATCAGTATATTTTAATGTCAGACTGTACCAGGCAAAGCAATAACTTCTCCATGGTGACAAGCAGCCAGAAAAGTTAGAGTGCCAATTTTGGAAAATGCAACTGATTATTTCCTGTGATCAACTGGCTCAATAGGAAAGATAGACAAGTTACAAGTAGATAACAAGAACAGCCTTTTATCACAACCCTAGTGATTTCTGTAAGTTATATTACTTACACTGTATTAAAGGCTAAAAGCAAGTAGTATTATTGAAACGCTTCTACTCAAAGCCATGGGAGGATTTTCTAAACAAACATGATATTATTTAGTTACATGAGCGCCTGGATTTTGAGCTTTAAAAAACAGCTGAATTTCTTCCGTCCTCGAAAGCAAACATTAATTATGAGATGTTTAACCGTGTGTCTACTATGAGAGTGCTCTTGCAAGACTTAACCACATATCATAGCGCTCAGAGCAAGGGTCCTGATCAAGGTTAGAGTAGCCCAATTTAGTGATGTAAGAGGCACTTGGATTTCAGCTGCTATTCACCAGCACAAAAATCAGGCTTTTAGGGGAAGGGACGCATTCTCGAGAGCCACTTTGCCAGAAATTTAGATCCCGGGTATCCTCAGGTAGCTAGAAGAGCATAAACCGGCGATTTCACAAGCACATACGCGAGCTTACCTCATCGTGCTGAAGGCGAGCAGGCCAAAGAACATCGTATGCAAAAGATTGTACGCCACATCTGGTCGGAAGGCTACCGCTCGTCTCCTCTCCTCGCCAGACGCTCCTTTTGGCGGGCTGTGGCGGTGACACGAAAGACAACATTGATACATAAAACATTACAGCCAAGACAGAAGGATAGGTGGGTGGAATTAATATTGCACAGATATATTATTCAGATTTCTGGTGTTTGCAGGCAGACACCCACTACTGCCTGTCTACTGGAGTCGGCAGTGCACAGACACGCAATGAAAGGGCCCAGGGGCGGTGATGTCACTGCCGCTGTCTGGCCTCCCTGCGCACAGATAGACCAAATCCAGCTTCCATTTGAATACAAATCCGATATGCTGCTTCTTCTGACGTGAGGTGGGATAAAGTAGATTATATTAATTCCTGAATTGGCAAATAGCCTTTTGTTCTATGAGGTTAGTATTCTGGGTGTCTCCTCCGGTAGAGGGCGAGCTGATATGCTAATGCGATTAGTTCATTGTGGCCCCTCACCTTGCACCGTAGGCGGAGGCTGCTTTGCAAGGCAGCGGCTAGTGGAATATTCTGATTTTCTGAGCATGAAGTGAAAGTGTTTTGAGCACACGGCACAGCGGAGTGAATGAACCACTGTGAGCGTGTCTGCTTCCTGATGGCTAACCTAATGTTCCTTACTTGTTTCAAACAGGAATGTTCTCTACCACGCTAGGGACTTTTCATTAACTCACATTATGCCATCTACTCTGACCAACTCGCTTGAAAATGAAAATGCACTCAAGCCTTCATCACAGCACCGCATAAGCATTAAAAATGAATGATGGCTGAAAACCAGCCAATCAGACACTCTCTAATTATCCAAATATGTCCAAACACTTAAGAATTAATTAGTATTGAGGAAAAGGTTGCTCTCTTTTCAATATTAAGTATGTGAAAGCAAAGTTTGGAACTTGGGAGATAAATAGAAAGGACTGCATACATTAACCTCATTGGGTACTTTGTTTGACCAAAATAGCTATGTAGATTTGTTGGAAACATCAGAAAATATACTTACTGTATTTATAACTAAAGAAAAAAATAAAAGAATGAACTCAATCAACAGAAAATCCAACACATTCAGTTGGGTCCCTGAAAAAACACATTTTTGGCCTTAGCAGTTACTAGGCTACTAATAATGTTTGGTTTTTTTTGTTGCTACCACTGCAATTAGATTTGTGATTTGGTTAAAATCAAGATTCAGTTCAGAGTGCACATTCTCAACTTTTAACTTCAACAATTTGAGCAAAAACTGAAATATGAACTGTCAAAGTAATACACAATCCCAAGCACTGCAATACATTGATATCAAAATCATACATAATTTTAACACAGGGTAATAAGGCCTGTGTGTTATTGTGCTATTAGTAAAAAAAAAAATCTAGCCTTTCTGAGTTGCACAGTTCCAATTGAAATAGATAGGTTATTAATTGGATGTTGCATGCTAAATAGGTTATTAATTGGATGTTGTTTCATTTCATAGTCCAAGAGGCTACTCAATGAATGCTGCCATACAGTTATTTCAGACTTTCCAAACAGCTTCAATGGCACTGAAACATATTGCCCACTAATACATATTGCACACAGTTGAGTATTGTCCACTGAACTGCACTGTCATTAGAATGTACTGGCCCACTGAAGCGTTTTGCCCACTGTAAAGTACTGGCCAGTGAAACGTATAGCAATACAAAAACTATAGTATTACTCACTGAAATGTATTGCCCATGCACATTGAAACATATTGTCCACTAAAATGTATCGCTCCCCATACCTGAGGTTCTGAACTGCAGTCACTGTGAAGACCCCTACAAGCAGCAGTAGTGTAAGTACATAGGGGTAGAGCAGCAGGGTCCCAGCCAGGCGGTCCAAAGTGTCCAAGGGCAGAACTCCAAACGCCTCTTCACACAGGTACAGGCCCGCGTCAAAATCTCTACAAAGGGAAAGGATAGTTACAAAAATATGGTACAGAAATGCCCATGTATATAATGAGGTATTGAAAGACTTTAGAGTTAGTGTTTTCCGCTATAATCAGGTTTTAGTGGAATACGTCAAACATTAACACAGCATGTATAAAATGTCAAGTTATATTTTTACGGAATAAACTAGATACTACCAAAAATTAAGATACTATATGTAGGATTTTTCTTAAACAATTTTCATGCATTTTCTAGTAGAAGAGGTTCCTCACATTGTGTTGACAGATCCTTTCCTACTACTAAAACCACTCTACAATAACCTCAATAAGGCCTCTCTGATACGGCAGCTAATGGCCTCCCATCCCTAGTCTCATTGTAATTCTACTGCTGTTCCTAAACCAGCAGGGGTGCATATTAAAGCTATCACCTATAAAATGTGTAGTTCATAGAACAGGCATTTTACATTGCATGGAAGTAATTTCAAATGTACACTGCCATTACAATATTATCACAAAAATCAACATTTTTATAGCATTTTCACATGGAGAAACGGAAGAAAAATAGGATGCGGAGGCAGAGATGGGACAGAAACAGAAGGATGCTTTGATAATGTGTGTCAACAAACAATAAAGTACATTTTGACAAGCCTGAAAGAGTTTAGGAGCAGAATTTCTGAGGATGAGCTGTAGCGCGTGCGATAAACAGCTGAAGGCAGACATAATTGAAGTGAGAAGTGAAATATCACAAAACACAATAAAAGAAAAATCAACAACGGGGGAAAAATACAGGATTACATTCATACCACACACCATACTACTATACAACAACTCACCCGTAGATGTAAAATTACCATTCCTGTACTGTTCCTTTCTACCTCCCTACCTATGGTGTATGTAGCCTAGATATTAGGGCTGCAACAAGTTAATTGATTAATCATTAGGGAAATAGTTGTGTAAAACCTCTGCTCTCAGCTCAAGAAAGAAATTACATTTAAATGACACAGGAAATACAGACATTTTGTGTTCTTTCGTCTGTAAATATGGTCCACTAGGATATTCTGAAATGGCTTTTCATCTGTTTTGTCTGGGTACAATTTAGGAAAGTCTCACATTCACCAGCCTTTTGTGATTTAAACAACTCATTGATTCATCAAAAGAATTACTGTTAGTTGCAACCTTACTAGATAGACAGGTACAAGCACATTTTAGCACACTCCTGAAGCGGTGCTAAAATATTGTCTGAATATTGAGATATTCATTTTTGTCAGCCCACCCCGGCAAGAGCCGAACAGAGTAAAAGACGTGCATTAGCCGTCTCCTTCTGAATAATTGAAAACTGGGTTGTGTGGCTTGTGTTATCTGCCACCTCAGAGCAGCTATCCAGTGGCTGAGGAGTTCTGTACTATAGTGGCACTATCTGATGGATGGGAGGTCCTCTGGCGTTACCCCTGCATCTATTATTCACACAGACTCACACTCCAGGTGATGTAACACACTCTGTGCTTAAGTGAATAATACAGCCACAGATAAGGTGGAGATGTGTGTGTGTGCATGTGTGTGACAGAAAACAACACAGCATAAAAGAACAGTGGTGGGCAGTAACTAGTTACAAAGGGATTGCAGTAATCAGATTACCATTTTAGTAAGGCAGTAACTACTAATGTAACTACTATTACTATTAGTACTATTAACTACTACTAAAATTTTGTCCATTAATTTTATTAATGAAACAATAAAAAAGATAAACAGGTAGCATGGATGTCATATTCTGGTGTCAGATGCAGAATCAGCAATGGACCAAAAACAATTCAATATCCAATCCAATCAAATTACTTTTGAAATATAGTAATCAGAGTAGTAATAGATTACTTTGCAAAACTACTGACTACAAATGTAATCTAACCAGCACTACAGGAAGTAGTGAGATAATATTTTGCAGTCTTTTTACCTAAATCCCAGTCAGTGACATTCACTGTCTAGAATCTGATGATGTCCTGATTTTAGATGGACAGAAGGGGTCTGTATAACTCTATGGGAGATCCACTATTTTTGAAAGAAACATCCAAATTTATGATCAACAACTGGTGAACCTAATCATTAGCGTGTCATATTAATCTTATGGTTAAAAGTCCTTTCAACCGACAACACGCGTCTTTGGGGTGGAATAATTGCACCATTTCCTGAAGCTATTAAGAAAACAATAATTTAAGTTTTGTTTACTTCTGCTGACAGAGAGGACATTGAACTTTGAGCCAGTTCCTGTTTTTTTATAGAATTCTCTGTATTAGAATGTTGAGATGCCACAAAAACACAGCCTACAGTTACTATTACATTTAACATTTCGGGATCTAAAGATTATTTGGTTTACTGATAATCCTGATTGCATAAATCAGAGAATATATTCATAATATGGGGAGGAGTGTTTAAGTCTAATGTGAAAATAAGTAAATGTAAATAAATAAACAAAAAAGCACAATCACAGCCCATTCAAAGTCTTGGTATAGTAAAATGATCATTAGTGTAATAGGAAAAACTGAAATATATGATCTCATTGTTTACAATTAGCCTGAAATTACTCTAATACACTAACATGCGCCTCCAATTAATACATTACTTGTAACTGTATTGCCCACATTTATGTACACTTCACTTTCTATTGCTTTCGACTGCTTGCATTATTTACAGCCTCTGTTGTTGACAAAGAAAACAAACTTGGACTACGATCACTGCATTTCAATGTGCTGTCACCACATTTACAGCTTCATTAGTGTTAATTAGAGCTGTCAATCATACCTGGTCACTCCAAGGCCAAACTTTGACTTGATGAATTTAAAGATATGCTCATCGGACTTGAGTTGTAGGGCTTTCTGTAACACACAAACATTTATGTTAAAGAACACCATTTTCAACATTTTCTTTATTTCAACATAAAATACATCATGAAAAACGCGGAAACAGGATTAAAGGTTGTATGGAGGATTTTTTTTGTTTCAAGTTGTCAATGATAGCATTATAGAGATGCAGTAGCCTTGTAATTATGATGACCAAAAAAAAGAGAATAAAAATTCATCAACTCTGGATGTGGTGGGGCTAAACATTTGCCAATAGATAACGACACTGCCTCGTTTTCTGTGAGCTGACAGGCTGTCAATCAAACTCCCTACGTTTCTAGCGTAACTGACTTGCCTGCGCGTCGCCGGTACGTGGTTTACGTACGACTGTCACGCAGTCCACAGACGCAAGCCGCAGAGACGCTGTTTATTCCACCAATGCAACAGTTCTTAGCGGCTTTTTTTGACCTATATCTTCCTCGCAGTTAGCACAAAGTTTGTTGCAATGGCGACAAGAATCCAGGAGCAGTTAGCCGCAAAAGAAAGTCCATTTTTGAGATTGCTGAAAGAAGAAGACAAGGGGAAAAGCAGCGAAGCCAAACTAAGGTGATTCTTGAAGATTCATTCCAGCGATGGCGCGACTGAAGCAGACGCAGGGTCTAAAGACTGACGCACTGGTCGCCAAATTACTCCTGGACAGGTCACTTCTGCTTATTATGAAAACGTACTTTATTTCCAAGAGCTAGACAAATGTTTTTCAGGACACGAAAGCGATATCCTATGTCTGAAAACGTAATTTTCAAGGCAAAGAAAGAGTCCGCTTGCTGCTGCGTGTTGTAGCTAGTTCATTCGCACTGAATCTCCGCGCAACCTTCTCTGCTCCCCTTTCCTGCTCCTGTCCCCGCTGCCCGATCCGCTCTTCCCCCTGCTCCTCACTTCTCCGGGCACGGAATCTCCGCGCACCGCTCCCCTCTCCTCTCTCCTCTCTCCCTGCTCCCTGCTCCGCTCTTCTCCCTGCTCCTCACTTCTCGTCCGCGAACGAAATGTCCGCGCACCCGCTCCCCCCGCTCCTCACTTCTCCACCTTGCCTAACCAACACTGTAGTTAGTTGTTTACAAGTCATGTGCAGCGCACCGGCTGTAAACAAACCTGTTTCTGGCGTAAAGTGAGGAGGCGGGAGAAGGCGTTTCTACGTAGGGAGCTGGGGTAGGGGAGGGGGGTGGTTTCACGCATGCGCAACATTTGAAAAAGGACAAACAGTCGCTGGATTTCTCGTTCCTTGGAAAATCCTCTATACAACCTTTAAGGGAGAAAAAATAGAGGAAGTACCTTGGCTAGATAGTTGATGGTGAAGGTGAGGAGGAGGACCATGGCAGTGTGAAGAAGCAGCTTGCCCAAACGAACTAGAAAGCTTCCCGTTTTCAAACCAGACTGGAAACACAAAATAGAAATGCCCATTATTAAATTAGAGAGACATATTACAGTTATCCAAAAAAATAATAATAAAAAAATACAAAACTAAAGGAAATCATCTAAAATTGGATCATCTAAAATGTGGACAGAGGTTTTTCATGTGCTATGTTCCGCTTACAGATCCTTCTGGAGTCAAACAGAATGTAGAAGGGACTGGCTGGTCAGGCAAGTGTTAAACAATGGAACAAAACACAACTCAAGGTATGTTTATGATGAAGAAGCAACATTATAACATAGATGAGGAAATAGCGTAATAATAAATACATAAGTTAATGCAGAAAATTGTTAAATTTGTTACTCCAAAGTCTGAACTCCAAACCACAGGCTTTTCTGACAAAGGATAGCCTATGGACTTCTTCAAGTGTATGAGCGAAGATTAAAAATAACTGGAATCACAATTTGGATCCTATTTACAGTAAAACATGCTATAAATAACACAAAACAAGCCATTTACATAACAGAGAACGCTGCTTCATAACGATACCTGGCAGTGTCGGACGAAAAGTGCAGCAACAATGAAACTCAGAACCAGTGATCCAAGAAGCATGGAGTTACAGAACTGAAGAAGCCACACACTCAGAAGACCGCTCACTTGGACGAGATACAAAGTAGTCACCTGTAAAAGTATTCAAATAAAAACAATAAATACTAAATTCATAGTCACTAGTTCAATGTTTAAGAGCAGGGGTCTCCAACCTGTAGTTGTAGCACCCCCTTCCTAGTAGCTTGCCAAGAGATTTCGGAATTATATATATTGTAATGAATAAATGAAATTTGATCAATTAAATACTTATTACCATTGTACATGTATTATTTTAATGCTTAACTTTATGCATTAATAAATGGATAATGGTTTATGTTTATGTAACGGTCAATGACTTATAAGGATTTTCAACAGGCAAATTTTAAAATATAAAAAACTTTCAAATATTTAAAATGTCAGGTATGTATAAATCTATGTTTAACATTTATATGAAGCATTTTTAGTGTTTTTGTATGTACATGAATTGGCTAGGAGCTTAAAAAATGTCATGTGGTGCGACCGAGAATAATAGTAAGTAAGTAAGTCTTTATTTATATAGCGCTTTCACAGACATTTTCTGTCCCCAAAGACGCTTTACAGAGCATTATTCATTCAGCATTCATTCATACAGCATTATTCATTCACTCTATACCCTGGTGAAGCCACCGTGCCGCCAATCCAATAATCTTAAAATTCTTTTATTTTCTAAAACATGGTTGGGGAATTAATCAAAGTTTTGAGTAATATGAAATGTAAGAAAGCAGAAATTTTATGTGGGACTACAAAACACTTCAGAAAATATGCCAAAAAAGAAAACATAAAATTGATTAGATTTAGAGTAATTTTAAAGAAGTTAAAAAATCTGCAGTTAAAGGCGGACAGTTGCACCACATGACATTTTAACACTTTAAGTAGCAAAAAACACTCATAATAACTAATGATTTCTGAAAAAAACTGATTTAGTTCCATGGAGGTCAGAGGCATTACAGATATGTGGTGAATTATCATGAAATTTGAACATTTTTAACTGAAGAAATTGCAATTGGACAGAAAATTTAGGTGTCATGTCATTGACCCATAGGCATCTAACTGTACCTCATTTAAGGCTCGCCGTGGCACTTAAACATACTGTACCTCATTTCTTGTGACCGCTGTAACTACTAGCTCTGGCAGTTTGGTTTTGTAATGGTAACTCACTGGAGGAAAAAGGTTGGAGACCCCTGTTTTAGAGACTAAAAAGGTACCAGACCTGTTTCGTTGAAAGGAAGTCTGTACAATCCAGAGTGTAAATGATGAGAGCTTGAACAAGTAGAATGAACTGATTGAATTGCCATGTCAAGCAGAAACAAAAGGTGGTTACGTACATAAGCCACACCATCACTTTCTGTAAAGGAAAAAAAAACACACATTATAAAATTTTATGACCTCTGAGTGGTCCCATAACTCCGGTGTAATAAAGTTGAGACTATAGTAATTGCCTGGATTGGACAACTGAGGATAATCAAGACAACGGTATAGAGTTTTGATTAAATATTTTCTAGTTTGTGGTGAAATGTGTGTACCTGTTGTAGGATAGAAAGCTGAGGCCTGAGATAACACGTGATAGTGGCGACTTGAAGAGCGAAAAAGGGCAGAGACCAGTTCTCTCGGAGGGAGATGGTGAATTCCACACGAGTGGTATCTATCCTGAAAAGAAAGTTTTGTTAGTATTTGCTGCTGAAAAATTAAAGTTGTGCGATGAGACTATAAAGATAAATCTCAGTTTGTTTTATTCGATTTGATTTTCCCTTATTAAAAACATTAAAATGCCATTATTAGTTTAACCAGTGCCACAAAACAAAACAAAGGTAGTTACATTTTTCACGTAAAAATATTAACCCAAGCACATCACTGACTATAATAAATGTCTAAAACGCAATCTTAATAAAAATTTAGAAGGACTACGAGCCTATTTCAGTAAGTTATATACTCTGCTTGCACAATATCTTGAGAATTGTGAATGTAACTATGGTTCTATGAGCACTGAATGTTCACTTTGCACAAGCACCTTTTTTTTTTTTTTTTTTTTTTGCACATTGCATTTTGGGCATACATAATAAACAACTGAAAACCACATATTCTCTAGATTCATCTCTCCGTTCAATGATTAAAAAGTCATCATGTACAGTAGTTGTATTCAAGCCTGTTAATTTATTTAGATTTGAGTTAAAATATGGATATTGGTGCATATATAACCTGCAACAGAAGTTAATTTTATCACCTTCTAAAATTGTAGTTGTTGCCAAAAAGCCTGCTGAAAATCCAAAGAAACACCACAGCACTGAGGCAGAAATCTTTACATTTTTTATTTTTTGAGAACTTTCATGGACACAACCCACTTCGATTCTTTTCCATTCAGTGTATTTTGGAAAGCCAACAAGACTCGTGCTGTGCTAAATATTTGTCTGTGTGCAGCTTCTAGTGAATAAGAAATGCCAACAGTGCGTACAATAATGTCCAATGGTCTTATTTATAATCTATACATCATACTCTCTGCGAGTCAAAAAGTTGTAAAAAGGTAGCGACCTTTCATCGCTATGCTTCAAAAGGTCTTGCACAGAAACCTAGCCTCTGTATTGATCTAAAAGGACAGCACAGAAAGCACCAGCATGCTTTGTGAACTTATACTAACATTTGGCCTCGCTCTAATAGGAGGCCATACCATACAGTTCACATCTCAAACCAAAATCTTGTACAACAACAGTGGAAAGGTTAGGTCATTGAAAAGTCTGTAACAAAAAAGTCTGGACTTCCTTTTCTTCCTTTTCATGTTTAAAGAAAATTGCATTTGAGGATTAGGGCTGTAGGCCTTTAGTCATTAAGTCACGTAATCGATCACTGGCAGCGACAGTGAAACTTTTATTAGTCCACAAATACATTTTACTAGAATTACAATGATTTATATAAACAACAGCAGAAAGGAGTTTTGGAAGTAAATCATAAGCTTAATCTATCTTTATACTTCTGAAGACATAGTTGTTATTACGAGCAATCAGATGAATCAGAAGATATGGAAATTTGATCTCATGATTATATCACAATAATGATTAAAGTTGCTGATAGCTTAAAAATGTAATGTTATGTTATGAATAAGTTCCATATTTAAACAGCTGTTGCTGTATTTACTTCGAAATAAGTGAAACAACAATGATGTAGTAACGATCATCATGGCCAAGTAACTTTTTTCTGTAAATTCTGGTGATAAAATGGCGATTATCTTATTGGCGATTATGCCCTGAAAGGTCTTTCTTACTGTAGTTTCAAAGATTTAAAAAAATGATTGTGGATTGAAAAATACAATATGTATTACAATAAATCCTGCAAACAAGTTGTATTTCGATTCTATTAATGAATAAATGTGAAAGTAAGCCAATAAAATGCTGTAGCATTACTTAAAGATCCTATATTATGTAAATTACAAACTTCTTGTGAAGGTGTATGAACTTTAAAAACACAGTAGAGCACTTCCTCTATTACCACATGACATCACAAAATGGAACAGAACTGTTTTCGGTTATATTTCTGTAAATATGCAGGGTTTGTGTGTTAAAGAACGACCTTTTGCTGTTTACACACAACAGAAATCGAGATACAAACCCCAAAACATAAACCTGTATCAGTGTAGAGAACTCTTTTTAAAATGGCAGAGCAGAGACTTGAGCTGGAGTGCAAAGCTGAGTGAGATGAGGCTTGACAGCAGACGAGCTCCTGCCCGTGTCTGTGTGTATGTGTCTGTGTGTATGTCTCTTTCTGCCTGTCTCCTGGCTCTATAAATACACACACAGCTATTGCCCACCTGTTGAGGATGTACCAGACCCCGGTGAGTGCGCCAGCCATCCACGACCCTGAGAGGAGCCACGCTGTGAGGTACAGAGCCATGACGTACACAGCCTGCAGCGAGAAGACTGTGTAGATGTAGAAGTACACCGGTTCCAGGTATGACTGTAACATAGAGTAAATATAGACACGTAGAGTTTGCTATTATGACAATGCTCAGAGATTAGTTGGGACTTGTACTGAAAGGTATAACTTTTCTGGTGGAGGGTCTGTGAAATGCTTTTCTGCATGGAGATGTTACTGCTCTGTCTGGAATGTTTCACAGTATGGTATTAAACATTTCTATCATCATGAAGGCCAAACCAGACCAAGTTACAGGTCAGATCTGTGGAGAGCCAACCCTGCTTACAGTCAGAATGCATGCTTTTCTAAATATTTTTCAGCTATAAAATGACTTGTAACTGAATAAATGTAAAGTAGAGCTATTTAATGTCATACTGTGGAACATTCCTGGCAGATCAATGACATATCCATAGAAACAGGCAGGTGACAGACCCTCCACCAGAAAAGTTACACAATGCACCTTTAAGTCAATTGTTCATAACGAAATGATATGAGCAATAAATACATACATTATAAGGATGCAAGATTAATGCAAGTTTTATCAAAACTGTTTATTTTTCTCTACACAAGAAATAGTTAAAATAATTTAAATATAGATGCTGTGAATGTTTTTTGTTTTTTTTTTAAATGGGAATGACTACATGGTAAAGAAAAGCTATTAAAAGAAGCTATTACTGTTCTGTATAAATCTGGAATCAAAATATGAGGACAGTAAAGGAAACGGGAGTTCACTGAATACGACTAGTAAATTCATTAGGGGTGTAACGATATCCATGTCTCACGATACAGTATCGTAACGGTATGAAACTCACGATATAGTATTTATTGAGATATTTTGTGGAGGCTAACAAAACTGTTAATATGCTGCTACTTTTTCCTCTTAAAATGCCTTGACAAGACTTAATCCAAAGAACTAAGACTTAAGTGCTTAGAAGTGTTATGTCTTCATGTAGTCTGCACTGAAATGGAGCAAAGGATTGTGACCTATGTAGTTTCCTCTGTCTGTTTTTTAGCTATTGCTGCACCATAACTCTTCATTTAAGCAAAGAGACTTGTAATTCGATATATTGCAATGGTCCACGATATTATTGTGAGAACTTTGATGATACAATATCACGATATTTTGGTTATTGTTACATCCTTAAAATTCATGTATCTTACTGTATTTTTGTTATAGTATTTTTCAATGTGGTATGAAAATTCGTCTTGAGTATTGAGCTTTTTCTTTAGTATTAAAATCAAGGAATCATGAATGAAACCTGCTTAATTTACACCTCTACAAACATGTTCTAATTGTACATGACTTTTGTGGTATGTTCCTTATTTTGTTCTTTATATTGTATAAGTAGTTTTTGTCCACTGTGTGCTATCTACATCCAATTATAAAGCTTTTTTTTTTTTTTTTTTTTTTTTTTTTAAATCAGATAATAAGGAAGTGCGGATTTGTATGCTAGTTGTTGCTAGCTTTACCGTCACAGCAAAACCCGGCTCAGAGAGTTGCGAAATACGCTTACGAACTCATCACAGGGAATAATTAGGACATACAGAATGCATAAGGTGTAGGGGTGTAACGATATCCAAGACTCATGATACGATATCGTCACAGTATGAACTTCACGGTACGATATTTATTGCGATATCGTGGGAAAGCTCATGATATGGTGGGGAGGCTCACGATTAGGGATATAACAATATCCAAATCTCTCGTAAAATATTTTTACAATATACATCTCACAGTACAATATTTATTGAGATATTTTGTGGAGGCTAACCAAACTGTTAATATGCTGCTACTTTTTCCTCTTAAAATGCCTTGACAAGATTTAATCCAAAGAAATAAGACTTAAAAATGCTTAGAACTGTTATTTTTTCATGTAGTCTGCACTGAAATGGAGCAAAGGCTCATGGATTATGTAGTTCTCCTTGTCTTTTTTTTTAGCTATTGCTGCACCATAACTCTTAATTTAAGCAAAGAGATTTGTACTTCAATATATTGTGTGATGGTCCATGATATTATTGTCAGAACTTTGACGATACGATATCAAGATATTTCGGTTATTGTTACATCCCTAATAAGGTGAGTAAGGAATAACTTACAATAACACTGCAAACCATTAAAAAAAAACACTAGTTTTGTTTTTCACATTTTTAAAAACAGTAAAAATCAGGTACAGCGCTTTTAAATTGTGCATTGTGAACTGAACCTTGATTTTAAAACCTACATCTCAAATCTAACCACAGTCACAATACGTAACTTCCCAATTAGATATACTTCCCAGCCCATTCAGCCCTAGTTCATTACACCTGCTAAATGAAAATGCAGCGACAGCCTCTGAGTCTGCTCCTAGTCGCACTCTGGCATTTTACAGCTTTGTCTGATATTTTACTTCCTGACATTTTTGTCGCTCAGCTGGATCGCAGACAGATCCAAGGAACTGTTTCTCAGCTAATTGATGTGCCGATAAAGGAACCTTTCACCGTTCATTGTGACATGTGTGAGTGTGCCTGCTACTGTCATCTGGAGACTGAGAAGTGAAATGCCACCAGAACTCCTACGCTTTTAAGATCAAGTAAAAATAAAGTAGACTTTCTTTTCTCCGCAGGGAAATGTGGTCTGTGCATTTGACCCATTCTTCAAAGCCAGCAGGGCAACTTGTCAGGTAGAGAAGGGCTTTATTCACTTGTCTTTGTCTCGTTAAATGCCTCTCCACAGACCTCACCCGTAATTTGGCCCGGCGGAGTCACCTGCCTGGCTTAGAAATGTGAAAATCAGTTCACTGGTCTGTTCCAAAGTTATTTCTTACTTTACCCTACGCATTCCGGGCATCCTAATTATTCACTGCAATAAGTCAGTAAGTGCTTTTTGTAACCCTCTGAGATGAGGCCATCTTGTCATGAGAACAACTAGCATGTTAACGCACAATTCCTGATTACCAGACAATAAAATGCTTACTAATTGGATGCAGGCAGTACACAGTTGACTTATTTTAATCTCAAGAGCTGCTTATACAAAATATCTGTACTGGGGTAAGACCACTTTTGCTCAAATACTAAAAAATTGCAGTTGCATAGTGCTCCTTTAAAGTATCATATTGCCGTCTTCCCCATTATGTAATTGTTATATTATGTAAGCGACGCCAGGGAGGCTGGTGGACTACCATGACAGCAACAAATGGAGATCAATAAAAATAAACTAAATATCTGAAAATCAAACCTGTCACCTTCTTGCTATGAGTCAGAAACGCTAACTATTCCCTTTTGCTATTATAAGACCATAACAAATTACCTTACTCTAGCAAAATAAATGAACACGGTTTAGATAATTTAAGCAGCGCTACGAAATATATCCTAATTTTTACTGAACAAATTGGCAGTCATTTGTTACCTGTATGGGCAGCAGTCTGTAGAGCACGCTCAGAAAGACTTCTTGGTAGATATTCATTCGCTGGAGGAGATTAATGGTCCTCTTGGATTCTGTCAAGTTGTCATGGATCAACTCCGAGAGCCCTTAGAAAGAAAATAGACACGCACTTTAAAATGCCATAGTTTCTTCACAGTGCTATGGATTGATAACAGTTATTATTGGCTTTGTGACAAGCTGTGAAGAATGGACGTGAACCTTTCCTGGAAGTGCAGACCATTAGGGGATAATCGCCGGTTTCAAAATGTATGGTAAGTCATCACTGCATCCTTGGAGCAGTTTCCTGACTTAAAATGTAATATTTAATGTAGCTTTTTATGATTTTATTATGGTAAAGGTTACTTCATACACATGTGGTTGGCTCAGAAATGCAACTTGTCAGTAAGGTTCCCTCAAGCTAATGCAAGAGCTGTCAGTTAAGTGTGGAATGTTTTTTATTTATTTATTTTTCTTTTCTACATTATAGATTATTAATTTCAATTTGTGTCACATCTACAAAAAAAACTGATGTTTGCAGTAAATCAGGTTTTCCACAGCATCCAACTGGTGATTAGCTAACATGTTCAATTTAAACTAATTAATATGAAGAAAGTTCTTCACACATCATTTTCTACTGACACGTGGGAAATTAAAAGTGGAGAAACTTTTGCGGTGTTACTTTGAAATGGTGTGATTTCCTTGATTGATGTGATTCTCCGCTTTGTAAGGAAGACTCAGGAGTTATTATACTTAATTGGGGTTAACACCCAAAAGGAAGCAATCTTGCATCAAAAGTTTCCCAGTACTTCTAGTATACTGCAGAACATCTGCCATGTTGTTTATTATAGAGGTCTGAAGAGTAAAAGAGCTTAAAAGAGCTGAATCCTCCTGACTGAAAGCAACACAACACTACTTTATTGAATGGTAGAATGTGACCTGTGGTCATTACAGTTTTACACCAGTCCACTGGCAGTTTGTGCAGAAATCCCTCTGACATCAACAAATAACATGTAATTTAGACAAGCTTTGGTCCTTGTTTACATTACGGTTGAATCCATAAAGTATTTGAATTACCTCTCCACACGACACATCTGCTGACCAGAAGTTAAGTTAAAAACTGAAAAAAAATTGAAAAACTAGGAAAAACTAGGCAGGACTGTAATCATGCTAACTACTTTAGTGAAACTGGTATTCTAACCTGTCATATGTACTTTAATAGCATAGTTTCTGAATAAATGTTTTGCAAAATTGATTCATAAACTATGCCATATTTTTGTTTGTGTACTCTTTTTAACGGGTGGTATCACTTGATGTTCTGCAGTATGGTTTTAAAGCAAACTTGTGATGAACAAATTACTGACCGTTAACATTGTCCACTCCAGACAAGACATCTTCCTTGCAACTTAACCTTTAAAAGCACTGACAAAGCAAGACAAAATGGGACCTACAATACATTCTCCGGACAGCCATAGTGGAGCCTTATACCCCCATTGCACTGAGACAAATGTTGACATCAGAAGGAGCAGAGGAGTTCTGGCTCATGTGGCCATGTGTCACCTTGATCATCGCCGCGTTCTTGATCCATGAAATGAGACCATAAAACCAGCGATGTTTCTTCTCACCGAATATATTACAGCCATACAGCAAACTCTTAAACTCCACTTATTGATTTATTTGCTTTTCCTTAGCCTCTCTCTATGACCTCTACAACACTGTGTCATATTTCCACCTTTGCGGCTATGTGTTGCCATATTCTTCAAATTCATCATTTTTGCACCGCTTCACACATTGCACATGGTGTGTGCTGTTGTTTCCTCGTTATTTATTCGAAGTAAAAACAGAAGTAAGGGTAATTTGGTCCAGACAGTGAGGTCAGACAGTCCACGCTTTGATTAGTTCACAGCTCAATTATTTGCATTGGCTGGAAAAGGAGCTTGCAAACAACCAAGGGCTTAGCAGGCAAAGGCCAGCTAAATAATTAGAGTAATTTCACTCACAACAAACTAAGCGTCAGCAGCAGTTATTTCAGTTAGCTGCAGCTGCACAGGAAACAAAAGGGTACAGAGAGCATTTTCCAGTACTGCTGATAAAAGTGCATCAAGTTATTTCTCAAAACAAAATTTACTCAATTGGAACCGAACCAAGCCCAAAACAAGGCAAAAGCTCTGAATAATGAACTTCAATTTTTTTGTTTATTGCAATATGAAGATAAGGTATACAACTGTGAATTTGTGATACTGACCATTTTTCCATTTATTCATTTTTAAATTGTAATAACTTCCACAAGGGCAAATGAAGGAAGAATGTTTTTACTTAAATTGTGGATTACTTAAGAGACATGGAATTTTAAAAGAATATTTCTGTTTTACTCCTTTAAAGCTGCACTTTTTAGCTGTTTTTTTTTCAGGGAGGGACTGTCATCTGCTTGTCTCCATGGAAGATGGAAGTGTTTTGCCTTGAATATTCCACTGTATGGCTTTAACCTCATCTGTTTGCATGAATTTAAATGTGTTTGTATTGGTAAAAATACTTAGAAAATCATGCATTCTTCCTGTAGTCCATCTTTAATGTCTGAGTGGAGGATAAGGAAATCAAAACTTATCTGATTACACCCACCTCCACTTATCGATGGTGCCTGTAACATTTGCTTGTAGTAGGAATAATAAAGTCCACACTCGGTCCGGAATGAGATCTCCCGCTCCACCTCCTGGAAAAAACAAAACAAAACACATACACAGTCAAATGTAATATCTCTTCTGGTAGCTTATTATAAAAACAAATGAGCTGGCAGGACATGACAGAGAGCAGCGGGATAACGTCTGCACGGCTAATACATTGATAATCCTACACTCAAATATGACAGGTGCATAGTGCAGCTCTTCCTCGCAGATTAGAGAAACAGAAAGTAAACAAGAATGGGATGCCATCTTGTATTGCATTTATATAGATTTCCCTCCACAGCTGTCTTTGTATTAGAATGATTCGTGTTACAGCAGTCACACATGTAAAGAAAGATTCAAAAGATTTTCGATTTAAAAAAGCAGCGTCTTACCGAGTGCCCGTAATAGAGCGTATGATTCCGTGAACATGCTGAGATCAAATACAGCTTTTATTTATGCTGATTTATTCTTAATTACGAAAACATTGAACATGATGGAGGAGTTGTTTATTTTATCATTTGTTGCTTTGGTTCTCAATCTTATAATCCAATCATTAAGCAGAATGAGCCTCGCATGTGTCTCTCATTTGCCTATGACTAAAACTGCTGGAAATAAATCAAAAATATCTCTCAATTCTTATTACCTAAACTCCAGGATCTGCAGTGTTAGTGCAGCCTTTGCAGCTCTAGATGTTCTAAAATAGATCTTAGGAATGCCATTTAATAAAGGATTAGGATTCAAGGTAAGGGTTATTTATAATATTTAACTTTTTTTCTCCATGGACACGAGCAAGAGACGGCACTGGGCCAAGTTACAGGTTAGATCTGTGGAGAGGAGAGCCAACTTGTAACTGAATAAATGGAATTGCTGGGTTTCAGATGACATCACAGCATTTCATAGGCCAATATTATTTAATACAGATGGGGAGCGGCTAAAATAAATACTGCTCAACTGCAGATTTTTGTTGTAACATAGCATGGTCTTTGGTCTGGTCAATAGTCATGGGAACGTCCCCCTCCTCCCTCCGGACGCCCTCTTCTCTTGGGCGACACACGGGTAACTGCTGTGCCCGGGAGAGAGGGGGATGTTCTCGCCAGCCTTTAGTCAGCTGCGTCACGTACTGTGATGTATTGAGTTAGAAAATCATGAATGTAGCAAGGCCAAATGTCGGGGCTTGTTTGTCATTTTACCGATCTTCGCAAAGCAGCACACATTTTTTCAGTATGTAATATCAATAAAATCCTTGTTTGCTTGCACAAGTTTAATATTAAATCATATTTTAAATATTTTTTTCTTGTTCCCCATGATCAATAGCATCTGGAACTGTTGATTTGGGAAGAAATATTAATTATTTCCTTACCTGCTTGCCATGAACATAATTTGTAAGCAGTGCAACACAAGAAACTCAGAAAGCTACAGAATTTGTTCAAAAATCTGAATCAGAAATCAGAATCACTTTTAGGAAGGTCTTAACTATGTATTTCATAGAAATATGTATGATAAAATCCTGAAATAGTTACCTGCGAAGAATTTTCTGAGACAAGTGATAGCACTGCCTAACTTGCCATCTGACCACATAGGACTTTTTGTCTTTATCATCTAGAGCCACTGCCCAAGTTCTTCAGATGAACTGAGGAGAGTACTAGCAATTAATACAAAATATATCATGAAAAAAATTGTGTTTGTTTTAATTTATATGTATATAGATTAACCAACTTAGTTTCATAAAGGGTAGAATTCAGAGGGACTTTCTAGCTTGTGGACCTTCAAGCCTCAGGGACTTTCCAGCTGATTTCTTAGTTAAAATGATCAGAAATATATAAAAGATATTTGGGAATTTACATTTCCGATATTTCATGGCAAAACACAATATAATTTATAGGAAAAATGTCTCTTGACCCCATCTGGAAGTTTAACATCATCACATTCTGGAATCTGGAAACCACCAATATAGATATGCTTAATTCGATGCCATGGAACATTTCAGGTAAAGTAATAACATCACCATTGGGGATATGCAGACGGCAGACTTTCCGCCGGAAAAGTTACACGGTGCTTCTCCACGCTTCATTACGGCTAGCTGTAGATTTATAAACTGATGCCATTTATTTTGTAGATGTTTGATCCCTCACCGCTACGAACTGGCCAAGATATATTCAAAATGAAACAAAACCCGAGAAACAAGCTGTTCCACACATTCAAATACAATTTCCCCTCGTGGTGCCTTGTAAATGTCACGCTGTCAGCAGGTTTAGTTCTGGTGCTTGCGGTAAAATAAACAACAGAAAATTGAAACATGCATTTACAAGTACAGCTGTGACTGAGCCCTGGTCTAATTACTCTTACAGATGTTCCAAGCTGCTTCATGTCAGCCCAGTGCTCTACCAGAGTTAATTGTGGTGGGAAGAACAATGGAAGACGAACTGTTGAAAGGCATGGTGGGTGTCGGAGAAGGTGGACAGAAAAATGTATTTGCGGAATGAGATTGTCTATTATATTGAAAACTAAATGGTAAAAATGTGTGGATTAGGAGTGAATGATTTTGGGAAATTTCTTCTTGCAATTTTCCTGGCAAGAGCTGGGATTAAATTTGTGATTTATGTTTTAAGAGCAGCGTTCTGTTCACATTTTAAAATATCAGAGAGAAGACAGAAATATGAATCCGAAACTAATAAGACTCATCTATTTCAGAGCAAGTTCATAGAGGTCTAAACTTTTTCTTTTTTACATCGTTTTTGTGGCCTTTTTCATAGTGCATTTAAACATAACTGCAAAACTGAAAAGCAAACATTGTAATTAAAATGTAATCTACTTCAAAAAATATAAAGTGTTGGACGCTTATGTCGAAAATAAGATGGAAAGTCCCTCTGGCTGGAAGATTCCTCTGAATTGTACCCTTTAGGAAAGTTAATCTATATACATTTAAATTTTAAAAAGATAAAAATCTTTTTTATATATAGTATATACATACATGCAAGTTACAATATATCTCAACACATTTGTTCATGTTGAGAATCAGCAAGTCTTCTGATTTGGGAATGATGAGCACCCTGCTTTTATCCATTGTTGCATGACATGACACCCGACATGAGTTGATTATATTCATGGCAAGCAAGTACGGAAATAATTTAAACATCTTCCCAAATCAAGCAGTTACAGATGTTATAGGACATGGGGAAAAAAAAAGAGAAAATGATTTAAAATACAATTTCAGAGTAAACATCTGCGAGCAAATCAGGATTATGTTGATATTACATGCTGAAAAAATGTGTGCTGTTTCAGGAAGATCTGTAAAATGACATGAACAAGGCCCGACATTTGGTCTCGCTACATTCACAGTTCATTTTACTGATATAGAATGCTGATTTTTCCATGTGCCGTCCAAGATAAGGGGGCGCTCGGAAGGAGGCGGGGGACATTTACGCCGAAAGAATGGGACACTCGAGCTGAGACTTTCAAACTAGGGGGCAAAGTGCATGTTTACACACTTTAGAATGAGCCATCAGTCTTTATTCATGCTGAGATCCTTAACACCACAAACTAAATATTAAATATTAGCTTTATCAAGGTAGATTTTCAAAAAACTTGCAGTAAAAAGTAAATTTTTAATAGATGCAAGGTAATTTGGGGTAATTTTGGCCAATTCTCCTGGAAGCCTAAGGGCCAAGAAAAATTTGTCTGAGAGCCACATTTGGCCTACAGGATATAATTTGGACATGCCTGCCTTGTGTCAAGTAGAGATTGATTAAGTGTTTACATTGAAGAGAAACTAAAGGGAAATAAGGTATAATTTTCAAAAACATTTTTATATTTACAACTAAATATTGGCCTGCTCTTGAAAATGAAAACCGATACACTAAAAAGTGCAAATATCAGGTCAATATATCAGTCTCTACTGTCAAGTAATATTAACCAATCAGAGAAATTTCTGAATGAGAACCATGTGAAAACAACTGTCTGAGCCTATCCCAGTCATGTGTTGCTTCATCACAGTTCAACAGAGAGAAGAGACTGTGTAGGTGGGGATCAGTTCAGTTAATTCATAAAACTGTTCTTCGCTCATTGTTCAAAATCGGCAGCAGGCCTTTACTAAAAGCCAACTCAAAATGCACATCAATACTGTACCCACAAAGAATCTAATGCAAAGATTTGTGTCAGCTTATCCCGCCACAACAAAAACCTCAAAGTCTGGTGCTTTCATTCACTTCTCGTCTCTCCTGCTGTGATCCAAGATTGGCCCAGTGAGCCATGTGACACTTTTATTTGCGTCGCTTTACAAAGTGCCACTCGCCTAAACCATCCCCGGGCTCTTCCTCCCCCTCTCTCTCTCTCCCCGACATGCCGAGCTAATTAAAGCACTGAATTAAAACCGTATCAATAATTCCAGTTGCGTGACTCCTACCGTGAGCTGGGAGAACCACAGAAGATTTTCATGAATTGTGTTAACACTCCAGGCCTGTGTCAGTGCCAGGAGCCCGGCCAACAGGAGCCCGGGTGCCATGGAAACGCTTGGTTGCCAGGGCCGGCGGGGCGGAGGGCTTGAACCGGAAAAATTAGCAAACGCAAATGGAAACGCTTCCTTTCTGGACCCCTTTTGGGCGTTGGGTTGTTTTGGCTCCTTCCCCTTGGTCGTGGCTGCTTGCTTGACGACCAAATTAAGTTCCTCGCCTTGCAGAACCCTCTTACGAAGCTCCATTTTGAAAGATTTATTGATGTATCCTTGTGACTTTTCATTGGCCGACTTAAGGTAGATCTACAAATCTACAGAAGCCATCCAAATGCGTGACAGCGGTAAGCGTATTTTTTTATTTGAAGTCAGTCCAAACAAATTTGCCTTTTAATCACTTTCATTTCATTGCCAAAGGTAATATGCAAAAGCGTTCTCAGCGGGAATGAGCAGTCCGTTTCCTTCCCAATCCTCATTTTGTGCTGGCCTCGAGCTAAACAAGCACTGGCTTCTTCTCCCAAACTGTGATGGGATGGCTAAGCCGTGGTTTAAATTAGGGTCAGAAAGAACAGCAAAAGGTTACAAGTTCAAACTCTATGG